GGGATACCAGAACGAAGGCTTTTTTGAAGTCAAGATATATAACCTCAATCTCTTCTCCCTTGTCCAGGTGATAGGTCACCTGATCATAGAAGGAAATGAGATTGGTCAAGCAAGACCTACCCACAACAAACCCGTGCTGGCTATCCCTCAGGATGTTGGTGTTGGCCAGTCCATTAAGGATGGCCTCTTTAATAAACTTTTCTAAGATCTTCCCCGGGATAGAAGTCAGGCTGATGGGCCTATAGTTTGCCAGATACACTTTCCTCCCTTTCTTGAAGATAGGCACCACATTGGCCTTCTTCCAGTCTTTGGGCACTACACCAGAGCTCAAGGAGTTCTCAAAGATCTATGCCAGGGATGCTGAGGCAGAGAGAAGAAAGATCCGGAACCATGAAGCCTGGCTCAGTGAACTTGAGGAAAGCGAGGCATCAACAGACGAGATGGACGAAATTGACCTCCACAATGTAGCCAGCAGCTGGCAGTTTTGGGATGCCCAAGAAGAAGATCCCAGACTTCAGGGGCTTAGGTCACTGTCTCTGAACACCACCACCAATCAGACACCAGCACTGGAAGGGACTCTGCAATTCAAGGTAAGGAACCAACTCTTATATCGCATACAACTTGGAAGGGTACGGGAGACTGAAAAGACACAATTGGTAGTACCCACCTGTTTCTGCCAAGTCATCTGGCAATTGGCCGATTCCAACCCCATGGGAGGACACTTAGGTCAGGATAAGACCACTGGTAGAGTGTCCCAGTGGTTCTTCTGCCCAGGGTTGGGGGAAGATATGGCACACCATTGCACAGCTTGTCCCAAATGTCAGAAGGCCAGGGAGGATCACCCAGTATGGGCCCCACTTCAACCCATGCCTATCACTGATATCCCATTTTCAAGGATAGCCATGGATATGGTTGGATCCCTTCCCCGTAGCAGCACAGGACACCAATATATACTGCCACCCAGTATCTGGATGCCATGCCCCTGCAGCCAGTAACGGCTCCATGGATCATGGAAGAACTCCACCCTCGCGGATAGTGAGGGTGGAGAACCCTCGAGAAATCCTCACTGACCAGGGGCGTAATTTCATGTCCGGGGTGTTACAAATGGTATACCACACCCTACACTGTGTACCACCCCAGACTTACGGCCTGGTAGAACATCTCAATGGGACAATAAAAAGAATTTTGCAGCACTGTATACGAGGAGACCCGTGAAAGTGGGATCTGCTTCTTCCATTAGTTTTGTTTGTCCTTCGGGACACTTCACAGGAGTCAATGAAATATTATCCCTTTGAGCTAGTATTAGGTCACTACCCCACAGACCTACTCCAGGCTCTGAGAGAAGATTGGGAACAAGATGCAGGGAATGTGAGAGTTCCAGTCACATATTGGCAAGAATTCTAACAAAGGATACAGCTGGCCTGAGACTTGACCAATGATAATATGCAGGAGGCACAACATTGTCAGAAAGAGAGGTATGATGTGCACACCAAAGAGTGGGAATTCGAACCCGGACAGAGGGTGTTGGTTCTGCTACCCACATCCTTGAGTAAGCTGCTAACCCAGTGGCAGGGCCCGTTTGAGACAACCTGCAGGGTGAGACCGATGGACTATGAGGTTCAGGAACCAGGCCATCTATGTGACAAACAAATATATATCACATCAATCTCTTGCATGAATGGCATGAACTGGAGGGATGGGCAACCTTTGTGGATATGGATACAGAAGACTTGGGACCCCAGGGAGCAACCCAAGAGAAAGGAATGGCTAGAACAGAGAACCGAGTCCAAATAGGGGAAGAACTGTCAACATCACAAAGGTATGAGATGCAGGCTC